GCTACAAAACTGCTATCTCGGATTTTTCAAAATTTTGGGGTTTTGACCTCCGAAAATTCAAAAAATTGATTTTTCTGGAAACCGAATTTCGAAAACACCGGAATATATGTGATAGTCCCTGCGCTCTTCTATATACATACCAAATTTCAGATCAATATCTCGTTTTTTGGCCAAGTTATAGCGAAAAAACTGTTCAAAAATGATGACGTCAAATTTTTTAACTCAATTTTTAGCGATTCTAGACCACGTAGGGCAAAACAAAGAACACCATTGAACTCCCCGTGACGAGCTGCATCGAATCGATACCCATTTTATGCAAAAATATCGACTTTGAAATTTGACCTAATTTGACCTGACCTTGACCTGACTTTTTTTAATAGAAATTAAAATGACCTTGACCTAACCTTCACCAGAACATAATCTAAACTGACCCCAAAGGCTGCCTGACCCACATAATCGTCTTTGACATATAAAATGGACCATAATACATGCATCACATGATATTTTCATATTGTGACCCTCAGTGACCTGACCTCAGTGACCTGACCTGGTATCAGTTACCTCAAATAGCAATATATGTGTTTGAAGAACATTTCCCCATCGATGATTTTCAATGAAATGCATTTTACTCGATTTTACAACGCATTTCTTGAAATGCCTGTACACGGTGAAAATTCGACCTTTGACCTGACCTGTGACTTCATCGGTTTGACCTAGGTCAATAAAATTGGGTCACAAGATAGTTCCCTGATAGGAACTGCAAGGTAGTTCCAAATTGCCCCCCCCCCCCAACAGGGCGCGTTGGTCGGCAGAGCCCAACGGGGCACAGGTTAATCTAGGAAAAGAGTGTAACACCATTTTTGATGCCAATTTATAAAGCAGGATTTCATGTCAGGATCTTGACAGGATAGGATCTGAAAGAAAAGGATGGGGAGGCATCAACTGCCAGGGTGTTCAGAGGGGGATGATCACCCCCCCCCCCCCCCCCGGCAGGGCGTGGAAATTCAGGAGCTCCAGCGGGGCTCGGGATCAAAATTTACTTATGACGAAAATTGTGCATAGGGTTTTTTAAGTTCACACTGAAAAAATGAATTGAAAGCGTAATACTGGCCTCGCCTCAAGTGTGTGATGTATGTTTGTACATTACATGTTCATTGTCTTATCATTCTTCATATAAAAAGGCCAGCTTGTCTCCCCTGGTCGAGACTTCAATACTTATACACGGGTGCACGTACCGGCGCGCATAAATAAGATAGGTGTGTTTTGTGGGTCGGCCATTCCAGATGACTGGTAGGTGCTTTCCCAGTGACGTAGACGATCTTTGTTGCATGTTCTGTCTTTCCAAATACTTACTTTACAACTATTTGTTAATATAGGGTAAGGGCGGGTAAGAGTACGCGGGCGATAAGAGTACGCATCAGCTGTTTCGGTTGCTTAGCAACGCGGGTTTGTCGAGTTCATGAAGTGACATGAAGCCGCCAGTGCGTGCATGTCACCAACGGAACGTGGGCGTTGAGCGGCGACGCTGTTGAGTTTAAGGCGATGAATATTATTTTCGAGCGTTATGATATTATTTTGATATGGTACAATAATTTTGATACTTGGCTGTTGAGATAAGGTACATTTCCGTGATTGTTGTGGGAAACTTGTGAGGTTATCTGGGGAAATACTGTACAGTGCAATATTCTGTTTGCGAAGTTTTGCACAAAGTTTCGGGGTTGTTTTGTGCGCGAATTGCATGTACGGTAAGAGGACGCACTGTTCAGGAGGGTAAGAGTACGCAGAATTATACATTAAATCGAATATACAGAAATATAGAGTTATTAATCTATCGCTCAATGACGTTTGTTTTGTAGGTATATCATCAATGGAGCACTGTGATGCAGATGCGTACCCGAAATTCTTCCAAATACGAGTTATTCTCCTTTTTGATTGTGCATTTTTTAAGATACACACGACATGATTATTTCCTGATTTATAGACTTGAAAGATTTATTTTATGTTTTTCTTTTTGGATACTAGAATTAACTTAAATGCCTTCTGAGTTTGAAGTTAAGCATTTGGACAGTGCAAGCTGCATAGGTGTGTGTTCATATGCTTGCGTACTCCACCCGCCTGGCGTGCGTACTCTTACACACCCCATATGGTAAGAGTACGCAAGTGCAACGGTTCAGAAAATGTCAGTTTTAGACCACTTCCATTTACGCTGAAGGATCGTTGCCCCATGGGTTGATGGCTAATTCAATGAACTTTAATATTCCCTATTTGCGATTTCTTTCCTTCAAATATTAAACAAATGAGAGCAAGAAATCCACTAAGTGCGTACTCTTATACGACTTCACCCTACATCAATGACTTTTTAGAAAGACGCTGAAGCTGCCCTGGACGCCAAAATCCGCCGAATCCAGGAAGAGAACCGACTCCGTGAACAACGGAAACAGGTATTGCACTGATCGAAGACATATGTTAATCAAGCAACGTATGGGTTTCATATTGCCGAAAGTCAAACACACTGTTATATACAAGGTGTGCTTTATGAAACATGTGAGCTTAGTACCTACCTGGGACGTGCATTACCGCCACGCCCACAAGTAAAGTGACATGCTCATATGCAAACTAATTTGTAAAGTCTCTTTATCCAAAAGGCGTTTTTGGAACGGAAGGTCACGGTTCTGAACGAATCGGTGTGCGATATCTGACTTGTGAGGCATATCATTCCCATCTTTTTTTTCCATTTTTTTTTTTTAAGTATTTTCCTTACTTCGAGAATACTTTGAGAAATGAGGGTGTTACTTTACTTCACTGCTAATTTCCCCGTGGGAAATTATTCCTTTTTATTTCGTACGTTTCTACATTTGCCTTTTAGTTAACTACCAATTAGTTCGCATACCCGCTGAACCGATCTGCCTATAGCCCAGGTCACCCATGCGTCCCCTGTCTCTCGGTGTGTGCAGGAGGTGGAGGCGGACCGGCAGCAGGCGCGTGCCGCCGGCAGTGACGAGGCGCGCGTCTCTAAGTGTGTCCGCTACCGGCGCAGCCCCTCGCCCGAACAGGAACAGCCCGAGGCTGGCCGGCGCGGCGGACGCGACCGCGTCGGAGCCGGCTTCCTGCGCGATCGGGCGCGCGACTGTCCCGAGCGAGGCGGCGGGCCCGCGGCGGGAGGTCGTGGGGAGCGGGACAGGCGTCAGCAGAACGTCCAGCAGCAGCAACAGCAGCGCAAGGAGGACGCCGCCTGGCGGCTGGAGCGGCAGCAGATTGACCAGCGCCGCGTGGAACGCTCCAAAGCCAGCGACGGCGGCTGGCGGCGAGAATGGGATAGAGAAAAGCAAGCGAATGCGCTCAGGTGAGTGTCGAAAATGCACAAAGATGCGCCTCACTCTGCGCAAGTTACGCAATGATTCTGAGAGTTATTTATCAGTTATGTTGAGCACATGCATTATTGTGCTTCATTCCTCGTTTATTTTGCGATATACGGCATACATTGAATCCGCCTACAGTAAGCTGATGCTGAGCTGCTGTTGGTGGCGATGTTTGTGTGTATTCACCTGTGATTTCACCTGTTGCGCTGCGCACAGGGAGGAGCCGAAGCCACGCCGCGGTGGAGGTGGCGGCGGGGACGGTCGGGCCCAGCGGCAGCGGTCGCCGCCGGGGGCGGTCACGGACGGTGTGCCGCGCCGGCCGCCGGCCGCCTCCGAGAGACCGCCGGCAGCCGCCGCAGCGGGCGGCCAGCGGGACTCCAGGAGTGAGTGGTACTCGATCGACATGAAGGGTAGGGATTTGGTGTTTACGTATTCGTGTTCCTACATCAGCTGAGGCGGCGGTGCTGCGGGGCGGGTTGCCGGGTCCGCGCATGGTTGGTGATGTCCCCCCTTGCCGACGCGGCTGGGGCTGTGAGACTGCGGGTGGTGAGCGCGGTGCAGGTAGCATGCGTTTGGTTCTCCCGTGGTTGTGGGCACGATTAATCACGGGGACATGTCTTTTTACCTCACATATTGTGACATTCGTTCTAAGGTGGTGGAAAATCCAGGGTCTATCACTCACCAATTTTCTTTGTCGCAAAATCTGTACATAACAATGATCTGATATCTGCCCGATCCGAGCATCGTCATTAGCGTAGTGTAAATATGTTTGTCATATTTGCGTGGACCAAGTAGTAGCTGTCACGACATACCTCACTGTGACTCGCCCCAGCGAGTGAACTCGGGTATATTGTGCGGATATTTATTTTCCTTGGAGTAATATTCTCATGCTCTCTTTAACAACATTTTGGAAATATGCTCGGCATTAGAATTAATGAAAGGATGCTTGTGCAATAGTCAGTAGTCACTACCCTTTTTGGTTCATCTGACGTCAAGCCGTGCCCCCGTTCAGAACTCTCGTTTGTAAACCGCTTCTTCGTTGTGGAAGGCTCTTCGTAATCACACCATGACTGAAATGAATGTTAGGTGATTGATATCAGCATTTTATTTCGGGTGATTTTATTTCGATTCGTGACGAAGCAAGCCGGTGGCGCTTTTCGTCCGTATTAATGCGCCATTTTGTCACTTTTATTGTGTCCGAAATACTTGACGATGTGGCAGGTGGGCTTCACTTTGGCCTCAATCATCCTAAAATTTTACTTGAGCTGTTTGAAATTGATCCTTCAGTAGTTTTGATTCGGACTTGGCTGTTTTTTTATGGAACCTCAAAAATTTTAATGTGGAATGCGCGTTTAAATAGCCGTCCAGTTTCAAGGAATGCTCTAAAATGTTTTGTTTTCGCCTTTTTATTTGTTGTTATTTTGGTCAAGTGTGCTTTCAGTGTACTTTTGATTTGTGAATGTGTTTGGTGTGCGATGAAGGTACTCGTAAGCGCCTAACCTGTGATGTATAATCGAGCTGATCAACTTTATGCAAATACAGCCAAAGCACGGCGCGGTGCTTTTTGTGGATTTCGCACGGCACGCCACGGGCGGCCCGCATGCTTGGGCCCGCACCCGGCCCCTGTCTCACAAAGCCTGCATGAGTTGGTGTCTCTCCGAGCTTGCTCTAACCGCTGGTGGCAGAGAGCTGTGGTGTGGTGCACCTCCGCGGGGACGGGGTCGGCGGCTCCCCAAACAGGTACGTGGTCAACGGGGTAGTGAGTGAAAACTCAGGTCTGCGCACTTACAATAAAAACAGGATTGTTTTATAACCAGAAAGGCCGGGACCAATCCGAGAAAATAAGCGCTATTTGTCTCAATTGAACGCTGCTAATGCCTACTGTAAACGCTCGTTTTGCGATGCAAATCGTTTGCCTTATGTTCGTTTTGATAACAGTAATCTAAAATGCTGCACTCCCTCAAGTGACTCAGTTCTTTGCGCTTGAGCCGGTAACATTACCCTGATGCCCGGACCGCCGTTCCTCCGTGTCGCTCCGTCTGACGCTGGGTCTGTTCCCGCAGGGGGCCGCCGCGGGCGCGGTCGTACACGGGACAAGGAGCGAGCTGAGGAGTCGCTGCCCGGCGAGCCCGACTCCCCACCGGCCGGCCCGCGCTCCCCGCAGCAGCCGCCGTCCGCCTCTGAGGCCGTCGAGACCGAGTGCCAGTTCGACCATGTGCCTGCCTCTCCGGCGCCCGAGAACGCGCAGCCCGTCCAGGAGCGTGGCACACCATCCCCGCCGGCGGCCGCCCCGGTTCCGCCGGCGGCCGCCCCGGTCCCGCCGGCGGCCGCTCCTGTCTCGCCGACGGATGCCCCTCTCCTACCAGCCCTGTCTGCGCCACTGTCCGGTCCGTCTGTTCCGCCGGCCGGTCCAGTCGTTTCGCCGTCCCGTCCGACTGTCCTGCCGTCCGGCACGGTCGTACCGCTCTCCGGGCCGGCAGAAGTGAAGGTGACGGGACCGGCGAGCAGACGGGCGGCAGCGTTCAGCAACCGCCTGCGCGCCGAGCAGGAGGCAGCAGCAGCCGCAGCGGCTGAGGCGGCTCAGCAGCAGGAGGCTGTCCAGCAGGAGGTGCCAGCAGCAGCGGCGGCGGCGGCGGTGGAGGAGGAGCACCCAGTTGAGCCCACCGAGGAATCGAGCGGCCAGTTCAGTGCCGATCTATCGGACGAGGACGGTGATAGAGAGTATGACTCGGACGGCAGTGAGCGTGGCTGGAGGCGCTCGGACATCTCACCAGAGGATCTGTTGGAAGCCGAACTTCCGAACGGCTACCACGAGGAGCCGGACCGGCGCTTGGATTCCCGGGACGGCCCCCCTCCTCCGCCTGATCCGCCTCAGACGCGTCCACGTAGCGTGTCACCGATCAGCGCCTTGCTTAAAGAGATGACCGGCGAGGGTCAGCAGCCGCCCCCACAGCCACCTCCACCGCCACCGATACCGGCGCCCCCAGCAGCCATCTGTAACCCAGAGGCGGTGCTGGCCTTGGCCAGGAATCTCTCCCAGCTGGGGGTGCAGCAGCCGGTGTCCGTGTACCCAGAGCAGTACGGCCCCGCACCCTCCGCCTATGGTGCTCCTCCGCCACAGAGTTACGGTGTCGCGCCGCCTCAGTACGGTGCCACTCCTCAGTCATACGTAACGGCTCCTCAACAGTACGGCACGGCTCCTCAACAGTACGGCACGGCTCCTCAGCAGTACGGCGCGACCCCCCAGTCGTACGTAACGGCTCCTCAGCAGTACGCCACGGCTACCCCAATGTCGCATAGCTCGTCGGTGCGTATACCGCCAGCGACACATGGCGCTCCCGTCATGTCTGCCTACGCAGGTGCCTCCCCGTCGTACGGAGTGCCGTCATACGGCTCTCAACCGCCGTACGGCACCCCGTCCCAGAGGCCGCCTGTATCGTACGGCTCCCCGCCTCAGGGACCGCCTGTGTCGTACGGCTCCCCATCTCAGGGGCCGCCAGTGTCGTACGGCTCCCCGCCTCAGGGACCGCCTGTGTCGTACGGATCGCCGCCCCAGGGGGCGCCTGTGTCATACATCCAAGCGGAGACGCATCATCCGCCCTACGGCTCGCCACCGCATGGCCAGTCTATGACGTACGCGGCCTCCCAGTCCAAGCAGATGTCGCTACAGGAGGTGCGCGGCGCCCCTCACAACTCGCCAGTGGCACACAGCGCTCCCCAAGGGCCTCCGGCGGCCCAGAGCGCTCCCCAGGGACCACTGGCGGCCTATGGAGCGCCGCCACCGGACCCGCGGGGCAGTGTGGGTGCTCCTATGGCGCCGGCGGCCGTGACCAGCCAGCCGCCGCCGCCACAGGGTCCGCCGGCAGTCCCTCAGGCAGCCGTGCGCGCTCCGCTGCCTCCTTCTCCGCAGAAGAGCACTGAGGTGCTCCGCCAGCAGCCGGCTCCCCCAGGCGGTCCCTCTCCGGCCGCCGAGGCCGAGCGGGGGACTGCGGAGCCGGGCACACCGAAGGCGGGTCTGTATGTGCCGCCCGGTAAGCGCGCCCTGCTGGGCCGCCGCCGGAGCCCGCCGCCGCCTCCGGAGCCGCCGCGGCCGGCCGGGCCGATCCAGTGTGTGACGTTTGTGGACGGGAAGGCGGTGATGGGTCCGGTGGACGACTCGATGTTCCACATACAGGATATCCGACTGAAGGAGGGTAAACTGTGAGGGGTGCGGTGTGCTGCTGACCGCCAGACACACCAGTGGCCCGCCCAGTGCTCGGCACGGCAGTAGGTAGCTTGTGCTGTCCGGTGTCAGACAAAGCAGCGGTCCGTGTGGCCTGGTATTCGATAGTAATGTCCTGCAGGCAGCAAGAATAGTAGACGCCTCGGTGCTTTCAGCGTGACGGATATGCAGCTTTATGGATAGCTTTGCTGGAATGTTGATAAGTGGTGGCTAAAACTATATTACATAACCATTGAACTACCAACTAGATAAAATGATTATATTGAAATTTGGATGGTATTAGGCCCATGCATTTATTATTGTCGAATCTGCATGTCGTGTTGGCATTATATGAAGATTGTGATGGCGCACACTAAAGAAATGGTCTGAAATCCATTTATACAGCGCGTGTGGTACAAAGCTAGATGAAACTCGGGGAAAATGAATCTGTTTTAAAATGTGAAGTTCAAACGTTCACGCCGTCGCGTCGTTCACGCTGATGTACGGTATTTCTGTATACGGTATTTCTGTACATATGAGTACAAGTTATGTATTATGTGTGGGTGTGGTATGCTACGCGTGACATTTGGTCACCTATCTTACACATGTGAAGGTATCTGTGCCCCCATCTCGGATCATGTTTCGTCGCAAGTCGTGAAAGGGTGGTGGTTATGCGCATTTTGGTATGATGGTTTGAGGGATCCGATCTCTTGATGTGAGAAAAGTAGGAGGACGGGGAGGCATTTGGGTCTGATGTCAGGGTTTTGAGTGATCTGGTCCATGTACTTACACACGTAGTTATGGGATGCTGGGTGTGCTTTCATGGCGATGAGACCGATCGGATGACATTGATACGAAATGTCGTTTTGACCATAGATGTATCATGTAGGAGCCTGCAGTGCCGCCTGCCCTATTGTCACGTCAATACTGTCATTGCTCCATTTGTTCATGAAATAAACACATCGTCTCTCGATTGATTGAATTTAGAAAACCACGGTTAGGAACAATAAGTGGAACCATTGTGCATAGTAGGGGAGAGTGGGGAAAGATGCCCAGGGTTTTACGTTATCATATATTATTCGAAAATGACGGTCGGAAAGCAAAAACTTGGAGTTTCAACGGAAGCCGACATCATTTTTCTTCTAAAATATCACACTTTCGTGCCTGAAATATGATAACTTTTTTTTTGCTATTAAGCATTTTCCTGAAAAAGTGAAAGGGGGCATCTTACCCCACATGGTGGGAAAGACGCCCCCTGGTGTTGGGGAAGATGCCCCCCTACACTATAAGTGACATAAATGGGCACGTGAATCGCCTGAACGAATCAGTAGTCCCTTCGAGCCTGCAATAGACACCAAACGTCATCATAAGGGCCCTCAAAAGTAGTCGAAAGGGGCTTCAGAGGTCATCGTTAGGGCCATCATAGTCCAGCGCGGCCAAACAAGCCACCGTGGTGGCGTTCGGAGACCACTGTGGGGCCCTTATAGGTCTTCATGATGCTTGAGGGCCCTCGAGCTCATCGTGGGGACCTCAGATGCCAGCGCGGCCCGTGGAGCCAACGTGGGAGCCCTCAAAATATGTCGTGAGGGGCCCTGGAGCCAATAATGGCGCCCACAGAGGCCATCGTGAGGGCTCTCAGAGTCAGATGCCGCCCAAAAAGTCGCTGTGTGGGCCGAGGGACCGGCATGGGGAGCACCCGACCGTACTGGACTCTCAATAGTCCCAGATCGGCTTTTGCCTCCCATCACAAGTATGTAATAAATGATTTGACGGGCTGCTTGAAGGACAGCCTACGGATTTAGGGGGGCGTCTTGCCCCATCAGGGCAGGGGGCATCTTACCCCAAGGCCAAGGTACCGAAGTAACATTAAATCAGTACAATCTGTCTTTCCCACCCTGGGCATCTTACCCCACTCTCCCCTATCTATCATCTAATACGTGCGATCAATGACGTTCTGACAGTAACGGACCGGTGATGACCTTCTCACTCTACAGTTTCTCCGAACAGAAAATAATCGTTTCATTCGTTCATCTTTCGGAAAAAGAACTACTTCAGGCTGGTGATACGTCAGCAATGTCGAGGTGCTTGGCACCTATAAAAGGTGGGAATCGCTTCTATTTCGCAATTATTGAGGAAACGCAGAAATGGCCTGCGCGCTTGTTGGATACTTGTGATTTCGTTCGGTGATTTAAAACATACGTGATATATCTTAGCTGGATAAATAACAAATAATACAATATGTGACGTCATGAATTTTTTGTAAACTAGTCTGAATTACCTTTGGAAATGGAAGTAACATAATGGTGCAATGATACACACTTACATCAAATTACATACATCAAAATCAAATTTAGAAGCTGAGTAATCATTAGTGTGATTTTTCATATAAATTGAAAAAATTGTCTTTTGCTGACTGGAAGACTTTTGTTCTATTTCGACTACGTCATTAGACTTTTCCCTCTCAGGGATGATACCTATGTAAAATACCGCCTGAACAATTGCTACAATCGTGGCGCGATGTTCTGTTATCGTCTAATTGGATGTATTGTGTGTTGATAGATGGCCTTGGTGTGTTGTATTGTGTATTGCGCGTATTGCACACACGTTGCGGGGACGTCCTGCATTTTTTGGTTTTATATGATAAATAGCGGAAGATGTATGATGAAGATGTGCAATTAAAGGTCAATTAACATCACTTAACTCATTACTGTTGGAAGACTGTGAGTATCTTGGGATCAGGATTGAGATTGGCCTGGTAATGTTTGTTGCATGTTGGTTGCATGGGAACGTGAAGGACTATGGAATGGATAGTTCAGAGGGCTGTTCACGGGCCTTGTGTGCGGTTGGACCTCACCCAGCCTCCAGCTCCACCCACTGCGTCCCTACGTCAGCCTTCCGTCACCGCACACAGTGACCGCTGTGGCCAGTCCCGACCGGCCACAGCGAACCGTCCACCACATGCAGCCGTGATGTCAGAGCCGCCTACCCATCCCCTAGCCCCACTCCTGCTGGACGCACCGCACACACGGCACGCAGCAGTGTGCGGTGCCCGTGAACACCCCTCAGGTTTGCTGTCTGGTCTAGTTGTTTTGACTGTTGCATAGTTCAGTTGGGCAAACTACGGGGAGGTAATCAAGAACTTGATTAATCAAGTTCATGATTATTTTATGCCCATATTTCGTCATGTTTGCAGCCCGTCACGAAAACGGCCGAATCTCGATTCAGGGTCTACGGAGATGCACGAAAATTTTAAGACCGATAGAGAAGAAGTCACTCTACAAGTGTAATCTTTGAATGATTCAAGCTGAAAATCGTGAGGCGGTAGATTGCAACCAAAACGTAATCAACAACTTGATTACGAGGCGTCGTCCCGGGAGTCCGATGATCAACTTCTTGATTACGCAGCCAGCTGGCTAATCATGATCTTGATTTCGCATTCAGCTGGCTAATCACGATTTTGATCGCGCTGATCGTGCTACTGGCGAGCGTTGAACAATGCAGCTAATTAAAAGATACAATGATAATGGTGTATATAATAGACAAAATCAATCAGTTTTGGTGGGATGGAATTTATGTTGCAGTTAATGTTTCTCATGAATGACTTGACCGAGCCTCTTCAAATTTTGTGTGTGGCTGGAAGCGGATTAGCTATAAGCTTTGGACGAATCGGGGATAGGATATATTTGCACACGCGCACCTTATTTCTGTATCTCCGGAACGGCGTCACCGATTGTTTTTCAATTTTGGTGGGTGGCTAGAGACTCAATAGCTGTAAGCTTTAGACGAGTTGGGGATGTGGCACACACATGTGAACTTGTGCACGAGCACGCCTCTTCTCGCGCTTGCTCGCTTACATTGCCGAACACGGAGCTGAAAAAAGACCACCCCGAGCAAGAACACCGCTGTCCGCGATAAGCGGCCTGACCATAAGTCAGCTCAAATGATAATCTGCATACGACCGTCGACCACATATATTAGACAAATAGCGTCACAACCCAGAGCCCGTGTAACCAAGCACAGATCAAAGATATATTTCAAGAAATGTGTATTTATAGTCCTGCCGGTGGAAGGCTCAAAGAATTGGCAAACGCTTCCGACACCCCGCAGCGGCATGCTCTACGGGGATCTCACTCCACTTGCTTCACGGTCGCAATAGCCGCCGCTGATGGCGGCACATCGGCCTTCACCCCATCAAACACTTTGGTTCTCAGAAACCAATTCAGATTGACCATGTTTTTAGGAGTTTTGATGTTAAAAATCCAAAAGGCGGCCTGCCACAGCAGGAATGCTTGGTCTGGTGGCGCCGATACCACCTCCTGGACCTCGACGAATACCGCGTCTTCCCCGCCCAGCTCTCCATTCACGATTATGGGATGGAAAGTTTTGCGGGCCTCCGTTGGCTTCCGTCGTCTCTTGGAGAATGCGCTGCTGGTTCTCCAGCTCATCCCCTGCAAAATGTTCATAACCAAATTATAGGTACACTTAACATTTCGTGGGAGAAAATGGAGGAGAAAGAATAGGAGAGGAGGGAAAGAGTAAAGGAGAGAGAGAGAGAGACAGAGAGAGAGAGAGAGAGAGAGAGAGAGAGAGAGAGAGAGAGAGAGAGAAAGAGAGAGAAAGAGAGAGAAAGAGAGAGAAAGAGAGAGAAAGAGAGAGGGAGGGGAGGGGAGGGGAGGGGAGGGGAGGGGAGGGGAGAGAGGAGTGGAGAGGAGAGGAGAGGAGAGGAGAGGAGAGGAGAGGAGAGGAGAGGAGAGGAGAGGGGAGGGGAGGGGAGGAGAGGGGAGTGAGTGAGGAAGGAAGCAAGGAAAGATGGAAGGAAGAAATGATGGAGGAGAGGTAGGCGGATGTAACAAGGCGAACAAGACAAGACATGGACCTGATGAGTTGGCGCAGGGCACTGATAGGTACTACATTTCGGCACATGATGTGAAAATAATGTACAATGCCTCAGACTCAGCAGTCTGGAAAATGTAGGTACAAATTACACATGCATTAGTGAAGAAGTTTCTGCATTTAGATTAGAATGAATTGTTTTGAAAACATTAGACAATGCCTGTATCTTGAAAAAGGATTAGATTGGGCTGTGTCAGGACAAAACTGGGGATGAGTCATGTGAGCTCGCAAAGTTCCAAAGTTGTGCCAGGCAACTTCATGAGATCACACTGAAGGAGCTCCAGCGAATTATTTTCAGCATGCCCAGCTTGAGTGTGCAAAATGTACACTGGACTGGACCACTGTAGTGTCTGAACGTGATGCACAAAACTGAGCGTGACACACCAGCGACAAAACAAAACACTACAACCATCTATTGCAAAAACAATTCATACATACCTGCAACTGTGTGTCCCTGCATCCTGGCCTGCTGTCTTGCATGAGCGATGCACATAATACAAATGTAGCTGTACTTAGTCCGCTTAATTCCAAAGAAGTTCATCATATCATTTTTTGATTGAGCGTTCCTCAACGTAGAACCATAGGTACCATTATCACGAGCTTCCTGAACAATACTGTGGTGACGCCCACTGCAACAGCGAGGAGGTGGTGCTTTGATGAGCTGTGGAAAAACAGACACATTTGCAGTCACCACTTTCTATTATTGTTCTATGAATCCATGACAAAGCCACTTAAAATGCAAGTATGAATAACCTAGCATAAGCCCAAATTTAACTTTTCATTAAAAACTAAAAGATATATCCTATTGGTCCCTGCTTGCACAGACAATTGACTGAATAAATGATATGGCCACACTGCAAACTTTTGCACAACCTGCCAGGCCATAACATTTCTAGCTACTGTGGGCAGTTAAATGTGCCTCTCTTATCAACAATTGCCCCAAACAACAAAATAGGCCTATTATTTACTTTAAGATAAACTATAACCCTATAAATAGCAATACATTTCGTAAATAATTAAAATATTATACCGCGGAAAGCATGCGCCATGAAAGCCTACAAAATCATCATAAATTCTATCGCGATATTTCAACACTTATACCGACGCACATGAACGTTGAGGCTATTCAAATTTACAAACATGATCTAAATTATTTAAAAAATGCTAATTTTACCTATCAGAACCAAATTACCAATAATTCGGCGCTAATTACCGGCCTCACCCACACACCGACAACACGACAAATGGCGGCGTGCTAACAGGCGACGGTGCCTTTTGGAAGAAATGTTTATTACGATCAATTTAAGACGTGTGTAAAATGAATGTTCAATTATTTATTTTTAAATTAGAAACGTAAAAATGTGAATAAAAGAATAATATCCGCCTAAAAAGGGCTTTAAAAAATATCACTTTTCTGAAAAAGTTAGGCTAGCAGTTTATCTTTCGCCATATGAGCTAAAGTCCATATCCCACTGCTACCGGTCCATATCATTTCGGGAGAATAGAACATTACGTTTCACCTGGTAAAAAATCGTGTCGAAATGGACATTATAACAATCGAAACGAAACACTTGAATAGTTCGGTGCACGAAAAGTAATCAAAATCTTGATTACAACTCCTTATATGGTCATGCCACGCCCCATTTTCATGACGTCATAATCATGAACTTGATTAATCAAGTTCTTGATTTCCTCCCCGTAGTTTGCCCAACTGAGTTGCATCTTGCATTAACATGGGGGTGTATAGGGCATTGAACATGACACACCTTGTTGAAATGAGAAGCAGTCTAGTCTACTGGACTCTAACAGCATTCAAATTTCAGTTAACAATTCACGTTCCCATTAGATTATTAGAAGGATGAAGAATAACCTATTGCTCATTTCTATCAGAAATAGAAACACTAGGGTTACCCGCGTGCTCCGCAACGCGAAGAAGGGTTATTTTTGACCAGTGGGTATTGGGTTGGTCTGTGTCGATTTGGTTTGACGGCCAAGCATTTTGTAATAAAACAAAAAAGATACATCGCATCGAGGTGCCCGTGTCATATTATCATGCGTTCTACTTTAGAATGATTCGAAAACTGACGTGAAGTCTTTTGAGGGCCATCGATGAATTCCGGTAAAAATGACAATGTAATGGTTTGGAACATTTACATTTTTAAGATTACTGTTGATCATCATGCAAAAATGAAGGCTGAGTCTTGGACAGAATTGAATGCTCTTTCCAACGGTGCCATTTTTAATTGCCAGAGATATCAGATCATTGAGCAAAACCCGTGTGATAAATAAAGTGGCACAAAATTGACTAACACCATTTTCTTCCGTGATTTGTACCACCTTGATTTGGAGCAATCAGCTTTTCACAATTTTCTCATGAGAGGCGGTACATTTCCCTTGCCAACAGGCGTTGTTCCAACTCGCTCCGCTTAACAGTCACCTAAAAAGAAAATCAATTCCAAAATCCGTCCAAAACGTCAATTTTCCACATAAAAGTGCCCTCCCCGGTGCACGTGGCGCGTGCCATCCCCTGCACCGCATACCATTCGATAGCCCGTTCAATTATCTACACGATGCTGTTTTTCCCGTGCCGGTCGGACCCCTGGTCACCAAGATATAGCACCGGGACCGGACCCGTGTCGGCCAAAATTTGCCGTTTTCGCCCGATTTTGCAAGCTGATTTATACATGTAAAGTCTATGACGCGAATTTGCACTTTTTGGACACGCGCCACGCACTCACTATCGACCCGATCGAGCTCAGACCCCTCAAAGGCACGTCGCGCATCCTTGATCTATAAGTTGTGCAAATTTCACCGGGCTAGGTGCAACGGTATGGCCTGTAGTCCACGCAAAGCACCACCAAGTCTGGACCTCGGTAACGGACAGACGCACCCTCCTCAAATACAGGGTGTCCCAGAAGTCTTGAAGCTTTTTTATTTTTGTCGTGTGACCTTGCTATGCCACCGATTAAGGCAAATGATGCCTCAAACGAAAGAAAATGAACTGAAATTTTGTATTTTCATGCGTAGAGCACCACTTTAGTCAGGTGGCCCCCGTTGTGAGTCGCATAAGAACGAGCGCAAGAGATCACGTTCTTCGCTGCCGCCAGGCGCCAAGATCTCCCGATTTGGCGCCAAGACACCGGTGTCGCCATGCCCGTTGCTTGTCAGCATCAGAGCCTTATTCCATGAAGCAAGCCAGGAAACAGCGTAGGTATTGACCCCAGACCCCAAGAAAACATTAGCAACATAATGATTTACTGATCTGGAAGTCTTCTGAGATGTTTTCACTCATCCATTACAAAAATAAGGCTCAGCTGCTTGAGCGCGCTAAGCAACAGCCCATTTTAATCCTTTGATTCGTCGCATTATTATGGGGCTAAGACAAATATCAACCTGTCACAATTTGTGACACAAATAACATTTGCGACACATATTTATCATGGAATAAGGCTCTGGAGCTGACAAGAAACGGCATGGGGACACCGGTGTTTCGCAAATCCGGAGATCTTGGCGGCAGCGAAGAACGTGATCTCTCGCGCTCGTTCTTGTGCGACTCACAACGGGGCCACCTGACTGAAGTGGTGCTCTACGCATGAAAATACAAAATTTCAGTTCATTCTCTTTCGTTTGAGGCATCATTTGCCTTAATCGGTGGCATAACAAGATCACACGACAAAAATAAAAAAGCTTCAAGACTTCTGTGAGTTCTGGGACACCCTGGTAATATAGATAAATGATTTCTGATAAATAATAAACTATTTCGGATAGTTTTAGTTTCAGAGGGCTGAAAACGTGAATAACCTGTTGCTCATTTCTATCAGAAATAGAAAAAATAAACCATTTCTGATAAATAATCAACTATTTCTGATAGAAATGAGCAACAGGTTATTCTTCACCCTTCTAATAATCTTATCAACAATGCTCAGCACAACGTTCAAATACCTGAAATTCTCATTAGATGCTTCAATTTATGTCTACTAGAGCCTCATCCAAGCCTGATCCAAAAATCCAACTTTTGTTTGGGATGAGGGAGGAGGCAAATTGAAATAGTGGTGGTGATGTGTGGAGGGGGGATGAGCTTAGAGGAGGTTCATGGAGCGACAGGAAATAAATTGTTTGAAACAAGAGGAGGTTAGAGGACGGAGAGCTTAGAGGAGGCTGAAGTAGCCACTGGAAAAGACCCCTAGACTGCATTAGGTATAACACTCACAAATTCGCTGCTACCTGGCCTGTTGGAAGAGTGAGTTTTAGTTGGGACTTGGTGGCGGTGCACTGTATAGGAATTGGATATTTAGTTAGATTTGTATTTCCCATTAGAAAGTCTGATGAGTGATTTTCACATGAAAGCCCAAGAAAGCCCTAGGCCTTCTATGAGTGTGTAATGTTACAGGCAAAAATTAGGGTTTTCATCTGTCACATACCTATTTTTGTATTACCCTAAAACTTATAGCAGTAGCATTGTGCATGTGTGACAGCTTTCAGGTCCAGATTGACCCATCCCCAGCAGCTGTGACCCAGCATCAATAGTTTGTGGCCATGAGGCATGTTCAGTAAGAGCTGCTTAAAGTATACTGCAGGGGCTTGCCTTGCAGTTAGCTTTCAGCAGTGAGGAAAGACTAGAAAGAGTAATTAGAAACTGGTTCTCTCACCTGGTGGTGTCATTGGTGCATTGCCATTCATTGGTGATGTCATTCTCTCACTACCATGGTGTCACAGTTGGGTCATGTGTCTCACATAATGAATACAAGCAGGCATCGGGAAAATCCTTTTTGAAAGGATTGTATTCCCAATCCGCATTCCTTGTGCCGAAGTGGATTGCATTCCTACCCGCAATCCCCTTTTTTCACTTGGATTGTGATCAAATCCGCAATCTTTTTTTGCAATCCTGTTGTATCATTATGTGCACTAGTGGATCTGGGGGAGGGAGGGGGGCATATGGCCGTGCCTCCATCCCCAAATCACCCATTTCTAGTACCTAGTCTAGGGAGGGAGGGGGGCATATGGCCGTGCCTCCATCCCCAAATCACCCATTTCTAGTGCCTAGTCTTGCGAGTAATTCCTATCTAAGGCACAGGTATTTTATGGAAAATATTTTTTGCGTCAAACACCCCCACATTTAAACCTCTACCCAACCAGTGTTTTATATTTTTAAAACTCGCCCTCAAATACGTAATTTTGCCCTTCCTATGTAGTTCATCAGCGTATATTATTTTGAGCGTTTAAATTAAAAGCGTTTAAATTATTTCAAGTTTCGATGTAAAGCCCTTGATAGCAAAGTACATTAAGCCGATGCAGCCGATCTCATAATTTTCAATCGCAACAAACCATTTCAAAGCACTTATCAAACACAATCCGGATTGGATTGCAAAAATTGGAAATCTGATGCAATCCAATCCGCAATCAAATCCTGTTTTTTGGAATGGATTTCAAATCCAGGTGCAATCCACCAAAAAGGAATGCAATCAGGATGTTGCAATCCTGCAATCACAATCCTACCGATACCTGAATACAAGCACAGCCACCACTACTTAATGTGGTTCTTAAAATGTGAGGTCTGAAGTAATTTTATCTTGAATGCTTAGAGTGTTCTTTATTATTTTGATCTGTTTCACTGCTTAAACATTTTGAGTTCTGTAGATTGAAGGTCCATACCATGATGTGTTCTTCACAACTGGCACTGGGAGATTGTAGTTGTGTCAGTTATTCATTGGTCATCACTCATTTCCACCTCAGTTCATTGCCAAAATTGAAAAAAAAAACAAAGCTCTCATTAGTGTTAGGATCTTAGGTGTGATAATAGCATTATTTCCAAATGCCATTTTAATGTGAGGTGTTGTGGTGAAGCTATATGGGAATTTATTGGTAGTATACTTTGTTTATTCGTTTTGAAAACAATAAGGATAATGTACTTTATTTAATGAAACATAAATCTGAAGCTTGTTTTTTGGGTGTTGCTACCTTTGCCCTGTTATAAAAATTATGAATACACTGGCACAGACAGACTGCACAGATCCTTGCATGTAGGTAAGCTATTTTGTCTATTGGCTTTTACCAAAGTATGCAATATACTGTGAAATGAGTTAGAAACGTAGAATGCAGACATGTGCATGGATCCGAGTGATGGATCTATGATCTCAGTGGATCTCGAAGTAAAGTAGAGGTTGGGATCTATGATCCCACCGGATCCGGCGCTAAAAATTCATCTCGGATCTATGATCTGATGATAAATTAAGAACATGGATC